TCTTTGGAAGTCATGCAGGAAACACAAGGATCAGTGTCCTGCTTTCTCCCTTCATGTAGGATGAGGTGGTTTGTAACCCAAGGCATCTGCAGAGCCATGTGCCTGCTTTTTTTCCTTCCAGCCAAGGCTTGTAAAAGCTCCCAAGGGATTTAGAGGTGGTGCTACCATCTAAGTTGTGTTTGGATTTGGCCGTGCACTACACTACTACTGTTGCACTACAGCACCAGTGGAACAGTGTCACATTCTGTGTTTGGATTTGGCCGTGTTGAAGCACTACAGCACCAGTGGAACAGTGTCACATTTCTCTTGGGTACTGCTTGGGAGGATGGGAACAAGTCTGAGAGAGGTGCTCCTGCCTTTTGGCAGACTGAGCCAAGGGGAGCACGAGCTTGGCTCTCTGCTTGCCTGCACAGGTTTCTGTCAGGAATAGATTTTGGAGTTGCAACCAGGGCCACGTCACAACCTGTGTCACTCGTGGCTGTGCTCTTTTGGAGAGCTGCCCTTGCTGGGTGCTTTGGCAAAGCTCCCATGCTTCTGGGGGAGTCTTGGAAGGGGAGACTGGCTTATTTCTCTGTAGATCTGTGCAGTGGTCATGGGGGAGGCAGACTCAGCTGCTTCACCAGGAGTTGGTCTGCTTGCAGCTCTGGCTGTGTTTCACTGTCTCTTCCAGGTGTCTGCCCAAATCATCTTTGGGTAACCCTAGGAATATGTGATGCTGAGGCTACAGAGACAGTGTGTGGCTGTTGCCAGTTGGTACAGAATCATGGTTTATTAGTCACAGGCATGGAGAAGTGGTCTGGTGGTGTTTGCATGCCTTGGGGTTGGGGATGTTTTTGTTCCTGAGCCCCACAGCAGAGCTGGAGAGAAGTAAAAGGAGAGCTCATTGGGGAGGCAAACCCAGGATATGCCCTGAAAACTCTTGTGCTGTTAACACAGTTCTAACAGGACTAGACACAGCCTTTTTCCCTGGCAGAAGTGCTGCAACCCTGTTAAATCCCTTTCTCCTTGGTCTTGCAGAACGATGACCTCAGGAACCTGTCCCTCTCTGGCCACGTGGGCTTTGACAGCCTCCCTGATCAGTTGGTCAACAAGTCCACGTCGCAGGGCTTCTGCTTCAACATCCTCTGTGTGGGTAAGTCAGTCACCCCCAGGGCTGCTCCTGTGCCCACTAATTAGCACCTTCTTCTTCCTGCAAAGGGCAAGATGGGATCCAGAGGGGACTGTGGTGGTAAGGGAAGTGACAGGTTCTTTTTGGAGCTGCTCCGGGGTGAAATTTAGTGTCCCTCTTTTCTTTTTTTCTACCCTGTTCCCTTAGTCAAAACATGGAATTTTCTCAGTGTTAAAAATCTACCCTTTTGGTAGTCTTGTGGTTCTGCTTTTGCCAGGAGGAAAATGAGCTGCCTTGGGAACTAAATGTATTTTTAAAAGAATGTTACCTTAAATCATCCTTTCTCTGGGTTGGGCATAGAGGCTGTTTCTCCATACATTGCATTTCTTCCCTTCCAAGCTTTGCCTGTCTTGTTCTGTTGTTAGTTTCTCCAGTTGGAAATTATGCCATTTTTAGTCCCCAAATCACATGCTTGAGCACAAAGCCTGTCACCTGCTTGCTGCTCTATTGAACCTGGGGGCTGCAAGTTGGTTTTATAGCTTGTGTTACTTTTCCCAAATTGTTGAGAGAGTGAAATAGGGGGAGTAGACTCCTTCTCTTGGCCATAGATACCTTGTGGGTGGTTAGGCACCCAGCTTTGACCTGTTTCTTAGTGGACCTCTTCAAGATGCCTCCAGAGGGTTGTTTTGTAAACTGACACAAATGGTGGGTTTTGCTCTTGAGTTTGGCAGAGCAGTCTACAAACATCTTCCCATTCATTCTTCTTCTGAGCCTGTAAGAAGGGGATATTGTCCCTTCTAATTAGTTACATTAATTAGCTGGAAAAAAACCCGCAATTCTGACTGATTTTCTACAGCAGGTTGAGAATTTCTGTCTGCAGTGCAGGGTGAGCCATCTGAAAAGAAACCTGGCAAACTAACTAGGCTCCTCTCAGTAGCTTTGCATGTCAAAGGAGGTAAGAGAGTAGTTGTACTTGTGCACAGTCAAGCTACCAGCACTCATGTCAGTGGGCCTAGATTTCGAGCTATGGTGTCATCTGTAGTTTGTCTGCCTCCTCTTTCATTTGTTCTTTCTTTTTTAAAAGCTTGTCCCTCCACTTCCCAGGGCAGGAATG